AAAATAGACCCGAAAGAGCTTAAGAGCTGCGAAATTTGGTTTTCCGTTGTCCAGCAGTTTGTAAACAAACAAAATGATCGTGTTTACTTGCCAAAGAGGTCAGCTGAAAATGTGAACCTTCAGTATGCCACCAGAACTCAAGCGCCGGGCATGGTGATGGTGTGGGCCGTCATAACAGCCAATGGTCGCTGTCCGCTCTATCAATGGACCGTGGCATCAGAATAAATGGCGAATATTATCACAAAAATATTCTGAAGGGTGTATTAAAGCCTTGGGCACGTAAACATTTTGGCCGCAGACCTTGGACATTCCAACAGTACTCCAGGCACCATCGCACTCAGCATGCGCCATCCAAGAATGGTTACAAAATGAGATTCCTTCCCTATATTTCCAGCGCACAATGGCCACCAAAATCTCCGGATACCAGTCTGTTGGACTATTGTGTCTGGAGCATTTTGGAAAGCAAGGAGGGTACTAAAAAATAACAAAGTGTCGATCACCTCAAGCAAGCGCTTCGCCGGGAATGGGCCAAAATACCGCAGAGCAACATTGGGGCAGCGTGTGACGGTTTCATTGGCCGTTTGAAGGCCATAATTCGTGCCAAAGGTGACCAATTCGAACAAATCTAAACTTATTATAAAATTTGATGCTATCCGACAATTTTAGCTTTCATTCAATTAAATTACAAAAAAAAAAAAAAAAAAATAAATAATAATAAAAATTATGGCGTTTGACTTTGTTGCAGTTTTTTGTTGTCTTACCCCGTAGTAGACAATTTGGAAAACTAAACTTGAAAATCTGATATAAACGTTCGCAATCTGCAGAGAAACTCATCAAAAGTGTTTTTTATTTGTGTTTTCTCTCTCCCATTTCTCTGAAAGACCTTGAACAATTATCGATCAAGTGCCTCTGGATTTAGAGCAAATTAAATTGTTTTAATTAAAAAAGAAAAATTCTTTCATTTCATTTCACTTCTTGTGTTTATAGAAATTGCAAATTTCACAGAGAAAATTTCCAAAGTTATAAATAATATAAATCACAGCAGCCAAACACAAACATACAACCGCCCACCCTATCATTCGATTGAAGAATGATTGGCTGGCCGACCATCACAAGTGTTTTCCTCTCATGAAAAAAAAAACATTTCAAATTTATTTTTCCCAAACAGCGCATTTCAAAAAATTTTACGTCAATATCTGCGAATTGCTTTTTCTATTTCCATCTTTCGTGTTTTTTCGCAATCTTCCTCTTCTATCTTAAAATGTGTTCATTTGAAATCAAGAAGTGTGTTTCTTTTCAAATTTAGCAACAGATAGACAGACTACCTGCCAGCCGGCCATTGGAGCTGATGATGATCAATTAATGTTATAAATTTATGGAAAAATTAAAAAATAAATGGAAATCAAATGAGTCATTTAACAAAAAGTTGGCTGCAGAGATTTCAAATCTGGAATCGGAAGAGAAAATATTTGGTATATAGGGTGTTGGAACTTAGTTTTTTTACTAATCAAAAATATCGTTGCCAAATAATGTTAAACCATTCCGCTATCAATAATTAGATCAAAGTCCCAAGTCAAGATTTAAATCTCATTACCAAATAATGGGTTAATTAGTACATTTTGCCACCAGTAACTACTTACGAACCAGACTATTTACCCCTTATTATACCCTTAGCCATATGGCTACAGTGGGTATATATCATTTAATACGGCCAAAATGTATCTAATCGAAATAAAGGTTTTAGACCCAACGTCTTTTTGGACCAAATTCGTTTCAGGACATTTGGAGTCCATTTAGCTATGTCCGTCCGTCTGTCTGTCTGTCCGATGCGGACCATAACTCTCGACGGGAGTATCCGATTTGATTCAAACTTTGTAAATCGTAATATTATTATCAAAGTTAGATCGAGTTAGGAGATGGGAAATATCGTTCCATTCCTTCTGGTACCTCCCCCACAAAAGGTCCAAATTCTCATTAAAAAAAAAATACTGAACCAGAGGGAATTATCCGATTTTGCCCCAACTTTGCAAATCTTAATATTTGCATCAGTGCTAGGTCAGATGCGAAAATGGACAATATCGGCCCACTCTATCAAGTACCTCCCACGCAAGGGGTCAAAATTTTGAATAATTACAACCATTATAAAATGTGATATAAGAATCTTATTGTCTTCAAATTATACACATCCCAATATTTTTTATTAAACGACGGTCTGGTGTTAAAATGGAATATAACGCTCCACTCCTTCTGGTCAAATTTTTCAAAAAATATATTTTGTGCACAGAAAGAGAAACGATAATCCTATTTTGCTCCAACTTTTCAAATCCTTATATTTGCATCAGTGCTAGGTCAGGTGCGAAAATGGAGAATATCGGTCCACTTCATCAAGTACCTCCCCCATACGGGATCAAAATTTTTAATAATTACAACTCTTATAAAATGTGTTGTAAGGGCCCGATTGTCTTCAAATTTCACACATCCCAATATTATTATTATCACAAGGTCTGGTGAGAAGATGGAATATATCAGTCCACTCCTTCTGGTACCTCCCTCACAAAAGGTCAACATTTTGTATATCCGTGAAGCTCATAAATTGCGAAATTAACATCCGATTCCATTCAGACTTGGCACATCGCAATATTTCTATCAATACAAGATCTGCTATAAAGATGGCAGAGATCGGACCATTCCTTCTGGTACCTCCCCCACAATAGGATCAACATTTTGAATATCCCTGAATTTTGAATATCCATAAAGAGCGAAATTGATATCCGATTCCATTCAGACTTGGCACATCGCAATATTTCCATCAACACAAGACCTGTTTCTAAAGATGGTAGAGATCGGACCATACCTTCTGGTACCTCCCCCAAAAAGGGTCAAAGTTTTGAATATCCCTGAAGCTCATAAAGAGCGAAATTAACATCCGACTTCATTCAGACTTAGAACATCGCAATATTTCCATCAACACAAGATCTGTTATAACGATGGTAGAGATCGGACCTTTCCTTTTGGTACCTCCCCCACAAAGGGTCAAAATTTTGAAAATCCCTGAAGCTCATAAAGAGCGAAATTGATATCCGATTCCATTCAGACTTGGCACATCGCAATATTTCGATCAACACAAGACCGGTTATAAAGATGGTAAAGATCGAACCATTCCTTCTGGTATCTCCCCCACAAAGGGTCAACATTTTGAATATCCCTGAAGCCCATAAAGAGCGAAATTGATATCCGATTCCATTCAGACTTGGCACATCTCAATATTTCTATCAGTACAAGATCTGTTATAACGATGGCAGAGATCGGACCATTCCTTTTGGTACCTCCCCCACAAAGGGTCAACATTTTGAATATCCATGAAGCTCATAAAACGCGAAATTGATATCTGATTCCATTCAGACTTGGCACATCGCAATATTTCCATCAACACAAGACCTGTTATAAAGATGGTACAGATCGGACCATTCCTTCTGGTACCTCCCCCACAATGGGTCAAAGTTTTGAATAACGAATAACGACTATAAAATCCGAAATAGACATCCGGTTCTCTTCATATTTCACACATCCCATTATTTATACTAACACAAGATCTGCTGCGAAGATGGGATATATCCGTACACTCCTTCTGGCACCTCCCTCACAAAGGGTCAACATTTTGAATATCCATGAAGCTCATAAAATGCGAAATTAACATCCGATTCCATTCAGACTTGGCACAACTCAATATTTCTATTAACGCAAGATCTGTTATAAAGATGGTAGAGATCGGGTCATTTCTTCTGGTACCTCCCCCAAAACGATTATAAAATCCGAAATAAGCATCGGGTTCTCATCATATTTCACACATCCCATTATTTCTACTAAAACAAGCTCTGCTGTGAAGATGGGATATATCGGTCCACTCCTTCTGGTACCTCCCCCACAAAGGGTCAAAATTTTGAATATCCCTGAAGCTCATACAGAGCGAAATTAAAATCTGATTCCATTCTCAGTATTTCCATCAACACAAAAATGGTAGAGATGGGACCATTTCTTCTGGCACCTATCCCACAAAGTGTCAAAGTTTTGAATAACCAAACCGATCGTAAAATCCGAAATTTCTTCTGGTACCTCACCCACATAGGATTCAAGATTTTAAAAAACAAAACGCCGAAAGAAAGCGAAATAAGCATCCAACACTCTTCAAATTGATTACGAGATCTGTTGTGAAGATCATATATATCTACAAACCCCTTCTGGTACCTCACACACAAAGGGTCACAATTTTTAATACTTTCATCTGCCATAACTTGCAAAACAAATCGGCGATTCTTTACAGCTTGCTACATCTAAATATTTCTCTGAACCCGAAACCTGCGATGAATATGGAATTTATGATTTCGCATGAAATTGGATACAAATGTTCGATTATCTTGTTATTTTGCCCACACCAATATTTTTATCTGAATTAGATGAAGTATAAAAATGGAATACTTCGGCGGACTATTTTTGGTACCTCGCGCACTTTTTAACATTTTCTAAAAATTATCACATATCTCAAATAAAGTGAAGGATGTAACGAATATAGTCGAAAACAGGCACGTCGAAATATTTATATCATATTTATGTAGGCCTGATACGAAATGGACAATATTGGCACATTCCTTCGGAACCTATTCCATAGAGGTCCAACAATTTGAATAATCATAATGCAAGTCAAAATATATTTAAAAATTCGAACATTGGCTGAGGGTATACATCAGTCGACTGATACTTTTTAACTTGTTATAAAACTACTTTTAGTTTTTATTGGATTTTTTTTCCATCCCAGAAAGGTATATCTCTACAATTATTAATAGGTCTCAGCCATATCTTGCATTATCGTGCGCAATTAAACGTACACCCTCAATTTACATTGAAAGTAAAATTTTATATTTTTTTCCATTTAATTATTATTTTTTGCTTATTAATCACCGCTGTCTTTTTTTTTCTTGGTTTCTTTTGTCTTCCATTTACAGGATCAGTACGACAATTTAGCCATACACACAAACAAAGGCATTGAATTCTTGGACAAATATGCAAATTTTATACGTGACCGTTTAGCGATAGAAACAGAATATGCCGCCAAATTGAGGTAAGTCATGTCTCTCAACACAATACTTTTGTGTTTTCTTATTATTATTGTTATTAATAATTAAAAAATGTCGATGAATTACATTAGTCATTCAGTAACAACAAAAGAGGAACTACAACAACAACAAAAATTACAAAATTAAAAAATATACATATATTGTTTATTCAAACGAGTGTGTTTACGGAACACGCAAACTTTTTTATGAACTCTGAATATGGATTTTTGGCAATATTGTACCTCAAAGTCCTTCATAATGAACATTTTGTTCGATCTAGACATACCCACCTATAAGTCTCTTATACAATGGGGATAACTTTTCGATTCAGAATAATCTTGCTTCATCATCAAATTTTGAAGAATGGACCACTTCCTATACATTTTCAAAATTTCAAACAATAAGAAATTTTGTAAAAAATTGAAAAACCTACATATCCTTTCAAATTTTTAACGGTGAACTCTCATAAATCGACAAAATTTTGCAGAAGTAAAAATTTCTCTAAAGAAGTAAGAACATTGTCATAGAATTTATAAATAGCTTAAAAAATAGGGCATTCTGTGTAACAGGTTGTTATACCCTCCACCATAGTATGGAGGGTATATTGAGTTTGTCTTACCGTTTGTAACATCTCGAAATATACATTTTAGACCCCACAAAGTATCTATGTTATTGATCAGCATAAAGTTCTATGTCGATTAAGCGATGTCCGTCCGTCTATCTGTCCGTTCGACTGTGGAAATCACTCTAGCTTCCGAAAGAAATGAAGTAGGTTGATAAAATTTTACTCAAATGTATATTATACCTGCTGGACTTTTGGTATTGAAAAGGGCCCTCATATTATGATACCTCCATTTTTTCGGTATTTTGGTGATTTAAGCGACATTATTCAGCGGAAATGTTTCAAAATTTGGTATTTAAAGTTCGTAACGGATACTGCATCCTATGACAGAAAATTGTCTGTGCAGGTCCACGTCTTAGTATAGCCCTTATATAACGGTACCTCCGGATATTCGGTATTTTGGTGATTTTTGCGACATAATTCACTGGAATTGTTTCAAAATTTGTATTTGAAGTTCGTAACGGATACTACAGCCTATGACAGAAAATTTTCTGTGCAGGTCCACGTCTTCATAAAGCCCCCATATAACGGTACCTCCCGATATTCGGTATTTTGGTGATTTAAGCGACATAATTCACCGGAATTGCTTCACATTTGGTATTTGAAGTTCGTAAGGAATACTGTAGCCTATGACAGGAGATTGTGTGTGCAGGTCCGCGTCTTCATATAGCCCCCATATAACGGCACCTCCCGATATTCGGTATTTTGGTGATTTAGGCGACATCATTCACTGGAATTGTTTCAAATTTGGTATTTGGTGTTCGTAATGGTTACTACAGCCTATGACAGGAGATTGTCTGTGCAGGTCCACGTCTTCATATAGCCCCCATATAACGGCACCTCCCGATATTCGGCATTTTAGTGATTTAAGCGACATTATTCACCGGAAATGTTTCAAATTTGCTATTTGAAGTTCATAATGGGTACTACAGACTATGACAGAAAATTGTCTGTGCAGATCCAAGTCTTCGTATATCCCCAATATAACGGTACCTCCTGATATTCGGTATTTTGATGATTTTAGCTACATTATCCACCAAATTTTTTTATTCAGGTTTCGCATTTGCGTATTGTAATGGTTTATGACAAACAGTGGCTATGCAGGTCCACGTTGTCCTATAGACCCTAATATAACGGTTACATTCGGTATTTTTAAGACTAACAGAATTTTTAACGGATTTTATTTTATTTTTTTTTGAAAATTGCCAAAATCTTCCTAAATGGTGGAGGGTATTCAAAAATCGGCCCGGCCGAACATACAACTTTTTTACTTGTTTTTTATATCCATATACCAGACGCTCCAATCGCTCTAATTATTTTATAAATATATGTGCATAGCAAGTCCCTGCTACTTCGTCAGCGAAAATATCACCTTAAAATTTTAGATTGGATAGACCACTAACTATTAAGATAACTATTTAGCTGAACCTGTTTCATAATATTTTATTTATATTCAAGTTTTTCCTCTATCGACCACCCCAGACACCAACTGTGAACTCGATAACAAATTTCTGAATTCCATCTCTGTTTCAACACCAAACTGCACATTGTTATAATTTTGCACTTTTCGTACGTTCATAGCTCCTTCCCTCAACCACAGACACCTTCAGTGACATCCATAACAAAATTTGGGATTCCAGCTCTATACCCTCGCCCAAAGACAAAATCCATTTTATTTAGTATTTTTCGTACAATCTCAATCCCAGATACCAACAGGAGACATCAGTATCAAATTTCGGATTCCAACTCTATCCCTTCACCCAATTCCCAATTTAGTACCTCCTTGTAACCTTCGAACAATTATGGAACACATTTCTAGAACCACTTTCATTTAATAACCACGGCCACCAATTGTGACATCTATATCAAATTTAACGACTCCAGCTCTATCCCACCCAATACCAAATTTAATACAATTTAGTACTTTTCGTACAATTATAGTACACATTTCCAAAACCACCACCATATCTCAATTCCAACAGAGACCTCAACATCAAATTTGAGTATACCAGCCCTATGCCTTTACCTAATAGCCAATTTAGTACCATTCAGTACTGTTCATATAAATATAGGACGAATTTTAAACCACCGCCAAATCTCAATTCCAGACACCCAAAAAGACGTCAATATCAAATCTGAGGATTTCAGCGCTATCCCTTCACCCAATACCAAATTGTACGAAAAATAGTACTATTTAGTACTTTTCGTACAATTGTAACACTCAGATACCATCTGTAAACTAAATAATTTCTAATTTCAGAATTTTATTTCTATGTCTTCACCCAATACCGAATATAGCACCAATCAGCGTATTTCGTACAATTATAGTACTAATTTCCGAAACAACCTCCATGTGCCAGGCCACACATGAACAGCGACCCTAGTACCAAATTTTCAATTTAGGTAAAATTGGCCTTCCATAGGAAGTGAATCGGAATGTAGGCCAGTCTAAAATTTAATGTTTTTCTTTTAAAATTTTATTTAACAAACGCCTAAAAGCAGACTTTGCCTTTTTCATAAAACACAAATTTAATTGGGAAAATTTCGAATCGGTTATCTATTACCGCTAAATTCAATCGATAAGAACATTATCAAATATTTCAAAAGCCTACATAGCCACTATGGAATATTGTTATATATTTTTTGTTCAAATTTCAAGAACTCTCAAACATATTCAAAATTGTGACTCTCTGTGAATGAGGTACCAGAAGGGGTTAGCAGATATCTATCATCTCCACAACAGATCATGTGTTAGCAAAAATTTGAAGATAGTTAGATGCTTATTTGTCTCTCTTTGAGCGTTTTGCTTTTCAAAAACTTGAACACTATGTATGGAGGAGGTTCCACGACAAATGGTACGATCTCTACCATCTTTATTACAGATCTTGTGTTGATGGAAATAGTGAAATGTACCAAGTCTGAATGGGATCGGGTGTTCATTTCGCGTTTTATGAACTTCATGGATATTCCCTATGAACCCTATGTATGGGGGAGGTACCACAACAAATGGTCCGGCCTCTACCATCTATATTCCAGATCTGGTGTTGATGGAAATAGTGAGATGTACTAAGTCTGAATGGAATCGGTTGTTTATTTCGCCCCATCTTCACATCAGATCTTGTGTTAGTAGAAATACTGGGATATGTGAAATATGAAGAGAACCGGATGCTTATTTGAAATTTTATGATAGTCTTGGTTATTCAAAATTTTGACCCCTTGCGGGGTAGGTACCAGAAGTAATGGTCCGATTTCTACAATCTTAATAACAGATCTTTTGTTGATAGAAATATTGAGAAGTTCCTTGTCTGAATGGAATCAGATATTAATTTCGCGTTTGATCCGAACTCGACTCCAAATGTCCTGAAACGAATTTGGTCCAAAGAGACCTAGGGTCTAACCGGTAAGGTACGTTTTGGTAGCATCAAATGATATTTAACATATGGCTGAGGGAATAAAAAAAGTTCATATCTCATGGAAATTAAAAGGAGGATCCGAACGGAGTATTAGCAAAAATCGAAAACGTGGCGTCTTAATGCCTCTGGTATCTCCATAAACAAATTAAAACATTTTTAATAGCCAAACATTCGACAAAGTTCGCACAAGATCCATATGTTCGTCCCCGAACCGGAAATATATTTCGAAAACCGATCAGGAATGCCTAACTGGCTAAAAATTAATGAATTTTCAATCGAAAATGTTCAAAAAATTAACAAAAAGTAGCCATTAGAAGGGTTTCGCCCTCTCCCCATCCTTTGTGCGTCCCTACTATGGGATATATTAGTACATTCCTTCGTGCGCTTCCTCTACAAACCTTTTACATTTTGAATATTAATAACTCTTAGAAAAATTGAAATTTCTGTCAGTATAGATACAGTGCATCTGGCACCTTCCCTGTAAATATAAAGCGAGGTTATATTTGTATCACGCTTATAAAGGACAATATCAGGTCATTCCTAAAAGTTCCAACAATAAAATATCTCAAAAAATATTTTTCAGTCCCCGATTTTTTTTAAAGTTCACCTACTCCGAGGAAAAAATTAAAAAAAAATCTCTAAAAAAATTGGATATCAGCACCTGATTCTCCTAAAATTTGTACATCGTCATTATGTTGCAATAGAATATATCGATCCACTTCTTTCGGTACGAAAGTTCCAAAATTTCCACAGAATGATTGCCTCATAAATAGCGAAGTTAGTATCCGATGAAGTGCTAACTACATGAATCGTTACATTCGTATCACATTCATATCCGGTGCAAAAATGGACAATATCAGTCCACTCCTTCTCAAACCTCCCTAAAATTTTTGAAAAAAAATTGTTGTCATAAAATGTGAGCTCCAACTTCGCACATTTTAATATTCCTGCTCATATTGTCTCCAGTTAGAGTTGTGCCAATCTACTTCGACCGAACGAACCAGTTCTTTCTCTAGTTCCCTGGGCTCCGGACGTTTGTATGAAAACTCTGCGTATGAGTGATATGGAATTTACGAAATCACTCATACGTTTAGGAACTGATGTACTTAGCTATGGATACTAGATTGACACAACTCTAGTGTCCAGTGTGAAGATGGACTACGTCTGGCTATTCCTTCTAGTACCTCCCTCTTTCTAACAACAACATTTTGAAAAGTTTTGATCAGAAATCATCTAAACCGAATATTAAGCGCATTGAGTATGCCTGGTATCAATTAATTCTTAGTTCAAAGCACAATGTAGAAATTCATGGCTTTATATATTTCCCAGAGCCCAACATCCAATAGTTGCAGGAAATAAAATCCGAAGAACCTAAGATAGCTCCCAAACAAATTTGGAGTCCAAAGGTATCTCAAAAATCTAAAACTTATTTAATTCACCATTCAGATTTATTATATTTTTCGTTAATCAAAATTTTGCCAATAACAACCCACTTAGTAAGCGATACCAGTGTTGGACTTGATCCAATCCAAGTAGCTGGTGACACGAGTGAAGGCAGCTGGGTAACCCTTGGCACAACCGGCCGAAGAACCGAAGGAGGTCAAACCAACTTGGACCTTGGAAGATTCCAAAACCAATGGGCCGCCAGAATCACCGTTGCAGGTAGAGACACCACCGGGAGTGGAGACACAGATGTTGGAGGAAGTAACAATGGAGGTGCCATAGGTGGCGGCACAGACAGTGTTGGTGATGATTTGCATACGGGCCCATTGCAAGTTGTTGGTAACACCGGAGGCAGAGTCGGAGATCTTGCCCCAACCGGAGGCGATGGCATAATCACCGGCATAGGTGGAATAAGAGCTGGCAATGGCGGGCAATTTAACGGCTTGGATACGACTGGTGTAGGACACGGAGGGGATCTTGATCAAGGAGATGTCGTTCTTCAAGGTCCTGCTGTTCCAGCCAGAGTGGATGATGATGTCGCTCTTGGCAACGGTGTGGGTGACTTCAGCGGAGGTACGGACGGTGGCGCCCAAGTAGACGGTGACGGATTGGATACTAAACAAAAAGAAAAATAATTCAATACTTGGACGGCATATTCCAAAAAAATCGAATCCTTACCCATCGGTACAGTGAGCAGCAGTCAAAACCCAACGATTTCCAATCAAAGAACCACCGCACCAGGCCGAGGACAAGGCGCTGACCTTCAAGGAAAGACCAACTTGATAGGGGAATTGACCAACGGTGGCAGTGTTGCCATTGGTAATGCGACCCTCACCCTCAATGACGGGCACAACAATGTCACGTTGGTAAATCTCCTCGGCGGAGACGGCGACCAAGGCCAGAGCGAAAATAATCAAGAATTTCATGGTGCTACTGTACGAATACAACTGCTAATTTTGCATAGATCGGAGTAGGGTTTTTATAGGTGAAAAACCTTATCAATGGCATATTTTGATTACAATTTTTTCACAAAAATTTTGAAAACAAATTCCAAATCGATGCTTTTCAAAATTATCTTCAGATTATTTTTTGATAATTTTATTTTAAAAACTTAAAGTGGTTTGCCAAAATAAAAAAAAAAAAAAAAACATTGACGCATTTCTGGCAGACGTTTGGGCCTCAGTTAAATATGCAATCAGAACAGAAATAATAAAAATAAACCCTTCTTAATCTCCTTCTATCAATATGGGATTTCCAGTGATAACTCCACGAAGAAAACAAATCAAAACAAATACTAGACAAAAAAGAACATTGCAATTTTGTTTATCAAGGCCTGCATTGGTAGTACCTGGGGCCATTTGAGAATTTAGCAAAAATTATTTTAGATAGTAGCTGACGCCTTGATAAGGGCAGCTATTGGCCTATAAAAACCCGAACCGGACCCATGGCAAACCAGCAGTTGTATTCGTACAGTAGCACCATGAAATTCTTAGTTATTTTCGCTTTGGCTTTGGCCACCGCCTCTGCCTTCGACTTGAGAGCCGAACATGTGGAATCCCGCAACATCATCATGCCTGTCCTGGAGACCGAGGGCCGCATTACCAATGGCAACACTGCCTCTGTTGGCCAATTCCCCTACCAAGTTGGTCTTTCCTTGAAGGTTAATGCTTTGTCCTCGGCCTGGTGCGGTGGTTCCTTGATCGGTAATCGTTGGGTTTTGACTGCTGCTCACTGTACCGATGGGTAAGGATTCGATTTTTTGGGGATATATCATCCAACCATTAACTAAATGTCTGTGTTCTGTAGTATCCAATCCGTCACCGTCTACTTGGGTGCCACCGTTCGTACCTCCGCTGAAGTCACCCACACCGTTGCCAAGAGCGACATCATCATCCACTCTGGCTGGAATGCAAATACCTTGAAGAACGACATCTCCTTGATCAAGATCCCCTCTGTCTCCTACACCAGCCGCATCCAGTCTGTTAAATTGCCCGCCATTGCCAGCTCTTACTCTACCTATGCCGGTGACTACGCCATCGCCTCCGGTTGGGGCCGTATCTCCGACTCTGCCACCGGTGTCACCAACAACTTGCAATGGGCCCGCATGCAAATCATCACCAACACTGTCTGTGCCGCCACCTATGGTACCTCCATTGTTACCTCCTCGAACATTTGCGTCTCCACCACCGGTGGTGTTTCTACCTGCAACGGTGACTCTGGCGGCCCATTGGTTTTGGAATCCTCCAAGGTCCAAGTTGGTTTGACTTCCTTCGGTGCTGCTGCCGGTTGCGCCAAGGGTTACCCAGCTGCCTTCACTCGTGTCACCAGCTACTTGGATTGGATCAAGTCCAACACTGGTATCGCTTACTAAGTGGGTTGTACGACATATTTGATAAGAAATAAACTGACTATTTAATATTATAATAGAATTTTTTGTTTGTGGATTTGAAGTTAATGCGAAATTCGGGTGGGGAAATAATATTGATTCAGAAAACATTGGGAAATACAATGCCTATTGCGGTGTAATATTTTGGACCTAAATGTCATCAAGGGGATCCTTTTTTTTCAAAATATGGTTAAAAACTCCCTTTAACTTCTCAAGAATTTGCTAATACTTAAAATACATATGAGGGATAAAGCCGTACTTCATGGAACTTCTATTCTTCATAAAATTTCACTGTAGGTCACCAAAGAAAAGAAATCTCAGAAATCTCTTTCGAGACGAACTTAATGAGCTCGAAAGAGAAACAAACACATAATATGTACCATAAAAAATATCAAAGAGTTCGGTTCATTAAAACCTTTTTTATGCGCTGCCAATTCTCATATAATATCCCTGTTCAACAACCAATCTGTGATGTGGAAAATTCCAAATGGATTTGATAGTTCTCGTTTGTAGATCAACCCCAAAAGATTTTCATGTTCAAACCTTTTTAAAGTCTTACCATGCACAAAGAGACCTCAATATTTTGGGCTATAGAGTTTTGAAAATTAGTTGGCCTATGTACTAAGGGTTAATCCCGATTTCAAAACGTGCCTAATCGAAATAACGGTTTAAGACCCTATGTCTTTTTGGATCAAATCCGTTTCAGGCATTTTAAGTCGATCTAGCCATGTCCGTCCGTTACCTTGTCCGTCCATCTGTCTGGCTGGTGCGCACGATAACTCTCGAAGGGAGTATCCAATTTGATCCAAACTGGATACATCGTAATATTTTTGTCAAACTTAGATCAAGTTCGGAGATGGGCGATATCGGTTCACTCCTTCTGGTACCTACCACACAAAATGTCAACATTTACTGCAGAGAAAGAGACAGTATTATCCGATTGTGCTCCAACTTTGCAAATCCTAATATTTGCATCAGTAGGTCAGGTTCGAAAATGGGCAATATCGGTCCACTCCATCAAAGTACCTCCGCCACAAAGGGTCAAAATTTTGAATAATTATAACTCTTATAAAATGTCATGTAAGAGTCCGATTGTCTTTAAATTTCTCACATCCAAATAATTTTATTAGCCCAAGGTCTGGTGTGAAAATGGAATATATCGGTCCACTCCTTCTGGTACCTCCCCCACAAAAGGTTCAGGTTTTCAATATCCATTAAACTATAAAAAAGCGGAATTAACATTTATTTCCATTCAGACTTGGCACATCTCAATATTTCCATAAACACAAGATCTGTTATTAAGATGGTAGAGATCGGACCATTCCGTCTGGTACCTCCCCCACACGGGGCAAAACCAGAACGATAATAAAATCCAAAATAAGCATCCGGTTATTTCTACTAACACAAGATCTTCTGTGAAGATGAGATATATCTGTCCACTCCTTCTGCTACCTCCTCCACAAAGGGTCAACATTTTGAATATCCATTAAGCTCATAAAACGCAAAATTAACATCCGATTCCATTCAAGACTGGGTACATCTCAGAATTTATATCAACATAACATTTCTTATAAGCATTTCTACTATGGGCCATTACTTCTGGGTCAAAGTTTTGAATAACCAAACTTGATCATAAAATCCAGAATTTCTTCTGGTACCTCACCCACATAGGGTTGAAGATTTTTAAAAACAAAACACTCAGTGAAAACGAAATAAGCATCCAACTCTCTTCAAATTTAATACGAGGTTTGTTATGAAGATTATATGTATCTGCGAACTCCTTCTGATACCTCACCCACAAACGGTCATAATTTTCAATACTTTTATCTGTCATAACTTGTGATAAAAGAAAGAAAAGAAAATTTTAACATTTTCTAAAAATTATTATTGGTCCAAGCCTAGCACATATTTCATATTTATTGAGGTCCGATACGAAATGGACAATATTGCCACACTCGTTCGGATCCTACTCCATAGAGGGTCAACAATTTGAATAATCAGGACAGAAGCCAAAATATATTTAAATAATCGAACTTTGGCTGAGGGTATACATCTGCCGGCAAAACCGAGTGATACTTTTTAACATGTTCGAATTTAATTTCACTTTGTAAATAGATAAACCAGTAAAGAAAGTCTTAAAGCCGGGCGGGGCCGACTTTATGATACCCTACACCACTTTGCGAATTTAGTAGAGCTCCGCATAACAATTAAACGTTTTAATGGGAGAATTCAATCATACACGCCATGATTATAATTATAATTTAAAGTTCAAAGGACAAAATATGCCGAAGCATTTGTATCTTTTAAATTCGGATTTTTATTGCCCATTTGGTGCACAATTAATTTGAAATATTGGAGAAATATGGGAGCTATATCCAAATCGGAACCGATCTCGATAAAATTTAGCAAATGTTTTTCTGAGCTGTATTTGATATATTTCCCCAAATATTGTTGTTACAGAGTGCATATTACGGCTGTAGGTAACAAATATAACAGATAACGGATGAACAGTATATATGGGAGCTATAGCTAGCTATATCTGAACCGATCTTCACCAAATTTGACATACTAGCTTCTAGACTCAATTCGGTCGTAAGTGCCAAATTCCATCCCATTTGGGTAAATATTAGACGTTTGGTGCACAATCCAAGGTAAATCGGACGAAGTTATATATGGGAGCTATATCCAAATCTGAACCGATCTCGATAAAATTTAGCAAATGTATTTCTGAGCTGTATTTGATATACTTCCCCAAATATTGTTGTTACAGAGTGCATATTACGGCTGCGGAGGACAAAAATAACAAATCGGATGAACAATATATATGGGAGCTATAGCTATATCTGAACCGATTTCGATCAAATTTGGCATACGTATTTTCAGGCCTAATTTGGTTGTATGTGCAAAATTCCATACTATTTGGACTGATATTACACGTTTGGTGTACAGTAAAAGGCAAATCGGACGAAGATATATATGGGAGCTATATCTAAATTTTGACCGATTATCTCCATTTTCAATAGGGTTCGTCCTTGGACAAAACAAATGATTTGTGCAAAATTTCATCTGTATAGGACAATAAATGCGAAGTGTACTTTGTTTACAAAAATACACAGACAGACGGACGGACGGACATGCATAAATCGACTCAGAATGTGATTCTATGCAGATCGTCAAAAGGAACTATGGGTCAATCTCGTTTCCTGTTGCCTGTTACAAAAAAATGCACAAAGGCATAATACCCTGACCACCTTGTGGTGTAGGGTATACAAATTTTGAAAGTGGTGATGACGCGACTTCTTTTTGTATGGTCTGCTATCACTTCTCCAAAATATTTGTCTCCTCCACAAATCTGACTTCATGTCCCTGTTTTCAAATTTATTTTTTTTGTACTAATGTTTTGATCTGTATAAATTAGACTCTCTACACCTTAATAACCTTGCAATTTAATAATTGCTAATGTTTTTATTTTTTTTTCTTTCTTTCAAAAGGCGCTTATAACAAGCCCCCCCCCCCCCATTTAATGTTCAAAAATTCCATTACACCACGACATTTGTTCTAGCACAACAACAACAGTATATCG